TGTACGTGTGTTCCGCTTCTCGGAAAGTGAGACGTCAATTGTTATATAACAACTCCGAAAGACAAACACCGAAAGACCTTATTATATTTATATGAATTTAAAGGGTTTGACATGTAGTTACGTTATCCTTGCTATCAGGAGACGGGCATAAGGACAATAAGTTATTTTTCTTTCCTTTTTGTATTCTCAGCTTTAAGGGAAAAAAAACAACAATAGTTTGGCTTGCAAAATATATCAACTTTTTATGATTTGTCAAAATTCAACTTTAATTATTTACAAAGTATTTAGTATAACAGTTAATAATGAAAAACTCTGAAGCTAATACCTAGTATTTGTGCGTTTCTTATTATATTATTTCTTTATTGTTCCTTTCATTAACAGTATTGGTTAGATTGTTTAATGTATCTAATTTTATTGTTTTTAATTTACATTTTTATTATTATACTTTTTATTATAAAGATTCTTTTCCATGTTGGCTTAATATGTGGATTTAGGACTAACTTAAAATTCATAAATATTTATGAGTATTCTTATTATTGGGTTTACGGGCGAAAATATCGTTAACAGTCAGGATATCCTACTGGTGAAACTATGAACTATAATCTTTATAAGAAGAGAATATTTAATCAGTTCTACTCATTACTAGGTTGATTTTTAATTTTCCTCTAAGTAAGTAGCTTTTTGTAGCTGATTGGAAGTTAATATTAATTGTTTATAAGATACAAAAATAAAATCCCATTTTCTCATCCAGAGCAATGCTGCTTCGTCTTGGAAGCGGAAATGTCTTTTAATTAAAATGGTATGGTTTTAAATAATACACTCCCAGTATGACTTACTTCAATTCATAAGATTTCGATTGGTTGTTCAGCAAGTGCATTACGTTCTTTCGCAATGCATAATTGAAGCATCTTTAAAAAATTGTCATTATGCCTTTTAATATGGTATTAAATCTTTAACACCTTTTTAGTGCCTGACATTGACCATTAAAACTGCCAATGTATATTTCTCTCTGTCTCATTCAACTAGAAATAACCTTGTATGTACTGCTTACCAATGTTAAGAATAACTTCAGGTTTTTATGAACGAACCTAGAAATGTTTTAAGTATACAAGTTTATAGGTATAAGATATGAAACATATATTGAATTGGTTAAGTAATGCATATAACAACTTTATAACATTAAGTTTCATGGTTACAGAACTGTATATTAATAATGGTTCAAGCGTTGTACAACCTATATACCCTGTACAAACACTCGCAGGCCGTGCTCTCTTCCTTTCTTTGTTTTAGAGCAAAGTCACATTGGACTATCTGCTGTGTCCACTGGTCTGAATCGACCTCCGTATTGGTTTAGGGTGTGCCGTAAACTTACCGCTGTCCCACAGTGGGCCTGCACTCAAAACACTTGAGTTAAATTATAATTTAGCTATATGTCGTACTGTGTGTATGTATATGTTTATATATATAAATTGTAATTAAAAAAACCCATAAAACGTTTTCATGACTCACATTTTGAACAATTTTTTCAGTATTTTACCATTTGCTAAAAATATATTTTTTAATAATAAAAAAATTTTAATCACAACTGTACTTCAGTCTATGAATTGTCTTACTTTTTAAGAATAAATACTTGGAAATTGATAAGACCACAATGTGACTAACCCCTTTTTCACGTATATGATAGTATTATTCACAATCACTAACTGTTTACTAAGTTCAGTATATTTACTTTGAAATAGAAGTAATTTTGATCATTTGTGAATGAAGTTCTGTTTAAACATACTTACTTTTCTTCTTCATTCATAGCACATAAATGTTTTAATACACACTCTTTGCGCCGTAATGGCGGAAGAAAAAAAGGAATGCTTTATATTGAAAACTGTGAAACCTTAGAAATACGTAAAATATGTGATTCGAAAGAGCTTCAAATGCTTAACCTTTCATATTTTTCTCTTTCAACAGAAAAAACAACAACGTACTGTTGACTAAATATACAAAATAAAATTATATTCTGTCGAGCAGCAGTGGATTAAGAATCTTTCCTGCGCTTGCTAGTCTTAAAATTAACACCTTCGAAATGCTTCATATATTTAAGAAAACCTATTTTCATTGAATTAAAACGTAAGATATTTTAAATCATAATTAAAAATACAAATGAATTAAGACATGTCTGAAAGCTACGAGGTATTTCAAATATTCATGTAATTGTATGTACGTGTGGGAGAGAGAGAGGAAATTTTAACAAAGTATGTAAAATATGTTTATTTAGTAGTGTTATATAAACACAAATACGCGATTAAAATGCTTGCAGCTGTATTATACAGCACCTAAATCCCTTTTGATACACTGTACTAAATTGAAAGCCTCGAAGCTATATTGTACAGTATCTAAATCCCATAAGTTCTAATGTACTAAATGCAAATCATTGCACCTGTGCTATACAAGATATAAATATCTGTAGTCATGCTGTACAGCATGTGCATCTTTACATACATACAAGATTTAAATACTTGCAGCTGTATTATACAGCATCTAAATCCCCGCAGATACAGGGTTAAAAGTCGAAAGCTCAGCAGCTCTTCTGTACAACGCATAACTTTCAGCAGTTATACTGTAAAATCTGGATATCCCCTTAAAGTATATTGGTACAAAATGTAAATTTTTGCAGATACATTTTACACCAAAAGTAAAAATGGTGGTGTTAAATGTGTGAATATACTGTTCAAGTCATAAATTACGTCCCAGATGTTTGTCTAAACAATATGGTAGCACGCATCTTGTTTTCTTATTTTTCATAAGTATATTTGTTTATATGTTTGTTATATTACTTCTAAGCCATTTTAGCTTTCTATATTATCTGTGTATCTAAGTTTGATTACCTTATTCATTTGTCATATTTACTTTTCAGCTGATCTATTAATAAATATCGCTTTTTTATCTCTTGTGTACTTGAATGAAAGATTTATGGTATATATATATATATATATATATATATATTAAG